CTTCGGAGGTCATCTAATCCAATTCTCTGGTTTTATGGAGGGAGAAATTGATGCTCAGAGATTGAACAGACTTGCCTAAGGTCATACAGCTAACTAGTAAGAGGGCTTTCAAACCTAGCACTACTAATTTCTTAGTCCAGTGTACTTTTCATTATAACAAAGTGCATACCTTCTCTTGTGTGTGTGTGTGTGTGTGTGTGTGTGTGTGTGTGTGTGTGTGTTTGGGAGGGTGGGGGAGAAAGAAAGAAAAAGAGACTATAATTGTAAAAAGATACCATTTTACTATTTATTACCTCTGGCCAAATATTATAAGTGTAGGTTAAACATTTCCCTATCCTTCTCTTCTGATTCCCTAGAGAAGGCACCTGTGAAATACACCTGTTATAATTGTTTTAAATTGCATCACACCCACTGGAGAAACTCTTGCAACCCTACCCACAACCTGCTATTACAGCCCTACAAGAGAAACACATAATCTAGGTATCTGGCCCAAAGCCTGTTCATTCACAACTAAAAAAATAAAGTAGGGTAGAAACAGGCACTTTATATAAGTGGGTTGAAAAGAAATCTAGGTAGCTAATGAATCAATGTTATGATCTATGTTTAATCTATATAGTTTAAATAAATTATATTTTAATAATTTAGCTCTGAGAAGCTATGTGCTATAGTACTGCATAAATTATAAAATCTACTAAAGTCCCATCATAATGTCTTCAGGTTTCAAGTTGGAAGACATCACTAGAGACTGGTCACAAGGAAGACCTCCTGTGCTTCTAAGGTAAGAAATGTTGGTGGCCACCGTCTATGAGAGAAATGCCTGTTAAGGAATCTTAATAGCATGTAAGAGCATGTTATGATATGGCAACACATACAAATATTTTAACATTATTGTGCTTTATCACAGTAAAGATTTTATCAAAATTTAGGAGGAAAAGAGAGAGGGCTTCATATTTATTTACTACCTACCAACCCAAACACTATGCTCTGCGTTTTTCATATATTACCTAATGTAATCCTCACAACTCCAGAGAATGTTATCACCTTGTTTTTACAGATTGCAAAACTAAGACTCAAAGAAACTAGATGGTTTACCTGAGGTCACATAGTTTATGACTCACAGACTTGGGACTTGAACCCAAGAGTGCCTGATTCTAAAACCACTGCACTTCCCGTTAGATCAGCGGTTCTCAACCTGTGGGTCGCGACCCCTTTGGGGGTCGAACGACCCTTTCACAGGGGTCGCCTAAGACCATCGGAAAACACATATATAATTACATATTGTTTTTGTGATTAATCACTATGCTTTTAATTATGTTCAATTTGTAACAATGAAATTGGGGGTCACCACAACATGAGGAACTGTATTAAAGGGTCGCGGGATTAGGAAGGTTGAGAACCACTGCTTTGGATCGTGTTGCTATCACTCAAAAAATTTAGAGTAAAAGCTCCTCTTTAGCTTCCCAGAAATTTCCATAGCAAGCCAAGTCATTCACTCACTACTTGTCCACTGTGTGTCTAAAACTGTGTTGGGCTCCATTCACCCATCCGTCCAATCACCTATCTATCATCAAATAGATATGAGGTGCCTGCTATGTCCCAGGCATTGCTAGGCACTATGGTTACATTGGTGAGTGAAAAAGAGGCCCTCAAGTCCTTTGGCATACAGGAAAGGGTCAGTAATTAAAGAGTCATACAAATAAGTGTAAATTAAAACTGTGTTAAGGATTGTGATAGAGTAAGAGTTAGTAGTTCTGGGACTGAAATTTGATACGGTACCACTATAGTATCTAACAGGGGTGTCTGACTCAGGTTGCAAGGTTGCTCTGGGAAATGAAGACTGCATGGAGATCTGGAGAGTAAGTAAAATTACTTAGGTGAAGAAGATGGTTGTAGATTGAGGGAATACAAAGATACTTCCAGTCTGAAGACATGGAAGAAGGGCAGTGGGGATGCAGCAGAGAGAACAAAGGGGAGCACCACAGAGCATCGGGAAAGAGAGACAGGAGCAGCCAGGCTGCAATGGGGCTTGTAGGCCATGTGAAGTATTTTGACTTTTATCCTAAGAGCCTGGCCTGGTAGTTCAGTTGGTTAAAGCATCGTCCCGATACACCAAGGTTTGGGGTTGGTAAGGGCACATACAAGAATCAACTAATGAATGCATAAATAAGTGGAACAATAAATCGATATTTCTCTCTCTCTCTCTTTCTCTCTCTCCCTCCTCCACCTCACCAATTAAAAAAAAAAAAAAAGAGCAGTGAGAGGCCACTGAATGGTTTTAAGAAGGGAGATAAGAAGGGAGATAACATGATTAGATTTACATGCACAACGGGGAAAACTGACCCCGAGGAGGATACAGGAAGACCAGCCAGGAGGCTAGTGAAGTAAACCAGGCAAGAAATGGTGCTATATTATTATTATTATTTTTTTTAATATTTTATTGATTTTTTACAGAGAAGAAGGGAGAGGAATAGAGAGTTAGAAACATCGATGAGAGAGATCGATCAGCTGCCTCCTGCACGCCCCCCAGTGGGGATGTGCCCGCAACCATGGTACATGCCCTTGACCGGAATTGAACCTGGGACCCTTCAGTCCGCAGGCCGACGCTCTATCCACTGAGCCAAACCGGTTCGGCTGAAATGGTGCTATATTAATCTAAAAAGGTAAAAGTGGAAATGCAGAGAAGTGGATGGATTTGAGATACATTTAGGAGCATAAAAATGACAGAATTTAGAAATAACCTCAATATGGAAAGCAAGAGATACTTTGAAAATGACTTACCTGGCTTGTACAATTAGATGAACAGAGGATACAAAAAGAAGATCAAATTTTGTGGGAGGACAGGAGAAGATCAGCAATCATGGGGTCCACTTGCATATGTTAAGTTTGGGAGGCTTTTGAGATATGTAGATGGCAGTATGAGTCCAGAGCCCAGACAAGTCTGGGTTAGAGAGATACATTTCTGAGTTATCTGAAAATAAATAGCAAATTCGAGCACAGATGAAATCACCTGTGGGGAGAAAAGACCTAGGATGGAGCCTTGAGGAATTCCAACATTTAATGGATTAGTAGGTGAGGAAGAACCTGCATAGGAGACTGAGAAAGAAGAACTTCCTGAGAAGGGAGGAAAACTGGGAGAATGCGATGCCATAAAAGCCAAGGGAGGAGGAAGTTTTAAGAAGAGGAAAGTCAACGATACTGCTGAACAACACTGAGGGGTGAAGTCAGATAAACACTGTTAAAAGTGTGTTGGGCTGAATAACATGGAATTATTACTGACTCTAGAAAGTGCTGCTTCAGAGACAGGGGTGGCAGTGGGAAGGAGGAATGAACTGTAGGTCCCATGGTGGCTATCAGAAACTGACTCGCCATCCCAAAAAAGTTAATTTCGTTTCAGAAAGCAAAACTTATACAGAAGCTACAAAAAATAGACATAATGCTACCAGTTTTACTAATTCTTTAAATGCTATAAAAATCCAGAAAAAGAAGGATCAAGGTGACTGGGTAACCCAGGAAAGTCTTTAGAGAAAGAAAATCTTCAGCAGGTTATAAATGGAATCAATGAAAAGGGCTCAATCTAGGGAAATTGCACAAGAAGAATACATGGTGTGAGTGCATGGGGGGTGGGAGTGGGATGTGATGGAATGATAAGAAAGCCAAGGGACACGGACATAGTCCTCCGTTTTGAGATGTAGACTTAATATCGAGTTATTTAGGATCAAATAATATTTGCCCTATGTTTATGCTTTGCTGCCAACCTGTTGGCCAATTCATTTCTCAAAATCAATTATATCAGAGGATTGATAGGGAAAAGAAAAATAAGAATCATAAATCAATTGGGCTGCTCACTGGATTTGGATAATGCCGTGTGAAAGGTGGGGATAAGTAAAATCACGGGCTAACGTGTAACTCGATGTTTGTGATTCTGAGGCAGTGAGACAGAGTAGAGAAGAACACAGACCTCAGAGCGAGACAGTCAGGTCTGAATGCCAACTCCATCACTCACTGCCTTTGTAGTCTCGGGAAATGCAATCAATGCCTTTACACCCCCGTTTTTCATCTCTAAAATGGGAGAAAGAGTAAGTTTCTTGGCAGGGTTGTTTCGGTACTTAGAGATGAGATGGTCATGCTTGCCTCATAGGAATCTCCTAATTGGTGGCTACTACTGTTTTACTAGTAGAAAGAGAAAACAGGAAATACATTCAAATAGACAACCTTGTACACTCTGAGATGGGGACATTTTATTTACTGGTGGGCCCTGATCTACATTTTTCTACTGGCATTTATCTAAAGACAAGTGAAAAGCACCAAGTTTTGGACCTTTTTTGAGATAAATATATTTATATCACAGACTTTTACAGTTAATGATATTAAGTATGTAACTATTCAATAAATATATTCCTATTTTATATATTGATAACTTAGTAAAAGAGCAAAGAAGGGGACCCCCCCCTCCGCCCAAAGTAAACCAGAAGAATAAAAAAAAAAATAACTAAAGTTAAGGGTGAAAAAAGAAGACAGGATGAGAAAGGCTACAGAGAACAGAGAGACAGTTGAATCAGAAGAATCACTCAGACCTCCTGGATCCCCCAGAGCTCCCTCACTGTTTCTATCAGACAGCCTCCTGCTCTGCCAGCTGGCTCTTCCTTTGCCACTGCAATGGCCTCTCGCCCAGCATACTCCCCCACCTCTATAGTCTCCTATCCAGCACTTAACCTGGCAGTAGACCTGGCATTGCTATGCAGTGCTCTAGGCTATTTCCTCTTAGTTACTTAAAAAACAAAACACACCTACATGTGCATCTGCCAAATTAAGGACACCTTTGTCATAGATATGAGGGAGTACGTTTATAGAAAATTGGGATCTTCTTTGTGAATACTTTTTTTAGAGATGCCTTAGAGAAACTTAATTAAAGAAAATGTGCCAAAGGATAAATAAAATTAAGCCAAGGGGAAAACCCAGGCTCTGAGATGACTAATCCGATTTGTTTGGTCGTTCCTTACTGTGTGCTGAGGCCCATCTTCATTGTCCCTCATGTAGAAAGGCTTCAGTGCTAATGGATAATTAATGACAAAGACTGGTATGTTGCCACAGTGCTTCACCAGGTACTTTTCATGTTCAGTATGTAGATCAACACCCCACTGCAATGAGAAAAAAAAAATCAACAAAGGAGAAGACAGAGCTGAAATATACAATGCAGGACCCGAAAATAACCTGTATCAGTTCTCTCCCTGAGGATCAGCGATGTGTGGAGCTGTCTGCTGAGGTTGCACAGATAACTAAACTAGAGAGGTATGTGTTAGCAAGAACATCCACAGGCCTGGAAAGATGAAAGCTGAAACGTGTAGATAAACACTATGCTCTCTGCCCCTGTCTGAGGGAGCAGCATTTAGCAGATGAATAGCATCTGCAGGAAAAAAAAGTGTGCTTTCCACAGTGTATAAAAACTGACCTCAGGATCACAGTTTTATTAATATTGCCTAGAACGTCTTCTACAGTTACTGTTCCTAAGTCTCAGGAAATTAAATGATGAAAGATAATATTTCTAATATTGAGTCCATCTTTGACTAGATGGCTTCTCTTAGTGAAATTTTTTAAACTAAAAGAGTCAACTGATATATCAGATGCTCCTTGATGAATATTTAATAACACTGTTCATCTATTTATTCAGCAAATACTAATGTGCCTGTTAAATCTCAGGTCCCATGCTAGGTACTGGATATAGTAAGAAAAATAGAACCCTTAACTTCATGAAGCTTGCAGAGTAGGAAACAAACACTAAATACAAAATTATGCAAAGAAATTAGCTGATTATAAATATAACTATTATAGCTTATAAGAGGATCTGACTTAACTGGGGTTGGGACTGGTGTAAGGAATAGTTTGAAGACAAAGATATTACTGTACATTCTGAACATTATCTTATTACTCCCACTTGTCTGGCAATACCTTAATTATCGGGAAGAAGTACTGGCATAGGAATGAGGAGACTTGCCTCTAACATTATGTGCATGCTCACCGATGAGTCATGTAGCCTCTCTGTACTTACACCTTTGCCAATAAAATAAAGGCATTCTTAAAAAAACCAACCCAAAACAATTCAGTGTTTTCCAAAGTGGATCACAAATGGGAAGACTCTATAAAGTTCAACAGGAAAAGAAACCTGTTCAATGTGTTGCTTAAACTTACTTGATCATTTAACCTCTTTTGTTTGTCACCTGTTAACATCATTCGGAATGTACTTTGGGAAACACTGAACTAGTTGATTTCTATACTAATAGTCTATGGTCGCCATTCTTTAAAGGATTTTTGTCTTCCTACACTTGGGAAACTTCTGTATAACCCTTTAGTCACTGCAATTACAAATGATACAATTCTACTTCAAAATTATTGTTCATTATAAATATTTCAACAAGGCTGAGCAAATATAAAAGAAAGCCAATGTATAGAGGAGCAAATCCTGCACCCTGCCAATAAGAGAAATAAGACTATTTTAAATAATAATAAGATAAGGATGAGGAAAAACATTTTGATATACACACACACTCAAACATAAATACTACCTCTGGTGTGAAGGTGAAGTTCTGGGACGCCTGCTTTAAGATCTCCACGGCTTCCGTGTAAGAAATGCTGGAGAGAAACAGAAAAGCAGAGGTCAATACAATCAGCTATTGTTAACTAGTCCACCTGAAAATGAGAAAAGATCTATTTCCATAGTCTCCGAGAGTTAATATGAGTATTAAATGATTACGGAGTAATCAGGAAGTAAGGTTTACCTAATCCTATGGGCCTCCTATCAGCATGAAGAGAATGGCCACCCAATAACCCCAGTTCTGACCTACTTGTAGTGCACACAGAGCAGATAGTCACTAAACAAGTAGAGATTTACTCTGAATTCATGCTATGCCAATGCCGTAATGAACCGTGTGAAATATAGAGGCTGGATGAGCAAAAATATTTTCCTAGAGCCATCATTTATTCATTCACCCAAAAACATACTGAGCACCTACTCTGTGCTAGGGATTATTCTAGGTACTGGATATACAGTAACTAAAAATGAAGCTCCTGCCTTTATGTAGATATTCGTGTGTGGTGTGTGTGTGTTTGTGAGAGAGAAAGAGTGAGAGTGAGAGAGATAGATAGATAGATAGATAGATAGATAGATAGATAGATAGATAGATAGATATTGGGGGTACAGGTGGGGAGTGGGGAGAAAGATAAACAAATAAACAGAAATAATATGATGCCAGGGAGCTATTAGTGCTATGAAGAAAAATAAAGCTAGGTAAGAAGACAGAGGATGTTTGAGGGTGCTCTTTTAGAAAAGATGGTGAAGAAAGGCTTCACTGAGTTGGCGACATCTTAACAGAAACCTGCATGAAGTAAAGGAACCATATAAATATCTGGGGAAGTATTCCAGGCAAAAGGAACAGTGGGTACACAGGCCTGAAGTGAGGCCTGAGTCTGGCTCATTCAAAGAAGGAAAATGTCAATGTGACCTAGTATTGAACAAGGGGAAGAATGCCAGGAAATTAGATAGGAAAGGTAGTCACAGGTCAGGTCCTATGAACTTTTTCAGGCCATGGTAAGGCCTCTTTAATATATTCTAAGCATTGTTTAAGACTAGGTTAAGAAAAATATCATAGGTTACCTCAGTAAGAAACCTCATGCCTAAAGCAAGCCAAGCCAAAAATTTATATACATGATTTGAATAGGTAATATATGCACATAGTGGTGTTTTTATATTTTAAAGAAATCATTATGTATGAAAGAGTATACAACTTTCCATCCTGTCCCATAGCAACCTAATTAGTTCCTCTTCTCACACAATCACTGTTAGTGGTTTTGTGTATCCTTCCAGCACGAATTTTCCCCCCAGGGGGTTTTATACATCTGTAAGCAAATATCCTATATAATAAAAGCCTAATATGCTAAGTGTCCAGTCATCCAACCAATCAAAGCATAATATGCTAATGACATGCTAAGGCTACTCAACTGCTCACTATGATGTGCAATGACCACCAAGGGGCAGACAGTCGACCAGTCGCTATGACGTGCACTGACCACCAGGGGGCAGACGCTCCGACCAGTAGGTTAGCTTGCTGCTGGGGTCTGGCTGATCAGGACTGAGTGAGATGGGCATGCCCTGGAGCCTTCCCATGGTCCCTCTCCAGCCCCGATCGTGCACCGGTGGGATCCCTCGGCCTGGACTGTGCCCTCTCGCAATCCAGGACTCCTTGGGGGATGTCGGAGAGCAGGTTTTGGCCTGATTCTGCAGGCCAGGCAGAGGCACTCCACTGGTGCATGAATTTGTGCACCGGGCCTCTAGTTAATATATAATCTCCCTATAAAAAATAGATGGCAGCCATGGCATACATACCATACACTCTTATATCATTACTTATGCAAAAATATACCTTGCAGATATTTCCATATCAGAATATGAAAAGTTTCCTCATTTTTTGAATTATTATGTAATATTCTATTTTGTGGATGTATCCTAATTAGTTTTAGCCAGTCATCTACTGGTGGGTAGATATTTCAGCTATTTCCAATCTTTGCTACTATAAATCATTACTACATATACCTACTTTATGCTACAAATGACTCTCATATACTAATTTTGCAAATGAAAAAAAATGAAATTGTTGGATCAAAGTGTGTTGGCATTTGCAGTTTTACATATTTTGAAAGATATTGCCAAAGATATTGCTGCCCTTTTACTGAGTTACACCAATTATGTCCACTAATATACGAAAATGTCAGTTTCCCTAGGTCCTCTGAAACAGCACTTTGGATGATTAAAAACAAAAATCTATAAAGTTCCTCAAGAACTTCGAACTCAAAAAATAACTTACCCAACACAAACTTATTCTCTGAAGCAGAAATGAAGTTAATACTATAATAACTAATCAGAAAGTTGTGTCTTACAGTCCAAATAAAGCCCCCAAAGCTATGCTTTGAGTGATAACTTTTTTCAAAGATAAAAATTCTATTCAAATTAAAAACCTAGTATTGAATAACTGGTAATTTCTAAGGTAAGAATGATGTTGGTGTTGGCAGTAGGAATAATTTTTAAACAAGCATCCTATAGAGGGGAAACTGAAACTTAGAAAGGATCAGTAAGTTGCCAAAAATGACTCATGTGACTAGTAAACCCTGGTGTGCTGACTAGAGTCTAAGCTTTTAACTGCTAAGATAATGCCTAAACCACTTGGAGTCTCATATGTTCAATAAAAACAAGAGATGTGGGTTTTCCCTCCGACTCTACTATCATTTACTAGCTATGTAAATCTCCCACCTTAATGGAAACATTTTATACATTTTTTTGTAATGTGGTATACAAACATTAAAAATTTTAGTGTTTTCACTTGTAAGCAAGGAGACTGGATTATATTACCTAAAGTTCTTTCCTGCTCAGACAGCCTGTTGTTCTATTCTATTGTTACATGGTATGATCTACTTATCGCACTGAGAAATGTAAGAGCAATCAAAAAGGATGTTGTGCCATTGCTATGTTACTGTTCCATTTCTAAGAAAAATGGTTCTCATGTCGAAATGTCTCTTGCTTTTCTGGACATGCTGCCCTACTCCCTCCACACCTCAAGTTGAGGCAGAACTTTCAAGTTCAAATTACAGTTCTGATACTGGATATCTCTAATGGCCCTCTCAACTCTCTCTACTAATTTTTCTTGATATGTATACAGGTTATTTCCTCTCCTTCCCAGGAACTTCCCAAAGTGCTTTGAGGAGAGGAGAAGACATCGTGGAATTGCATGGTACAGTATCCAAACATCTTCGTTTCAATGTTTATTGTTGAATGAAGAAAACTACTTTAAAACTGTAAAACTACTACGCTAAAGAGCTCATCAATAGCATTCTCTGCCTCAAATTTGCACACATGAATAAAGAGCAAGTAAAAAACGTAAGGATTCTATATTTTAAAAACCTCCATACCATAAAGGAAATGTAAAATAACTGAATTTTATTTGTGCTTGATAAAGGCTAAAAATTTAATTACTACATAAATTCCTTAAATAACATATTTTTACATGAAACAATTATAACAAGTCGTCAAGAATACACTGAAATCTACTGAAAAGATTTTGGTCATACTAGAGACCCAATGCACGAAATTCATGCAAGAGTAGGCCTTCCTTTCTTCCTTCCTTCCCTTGGCTGCCAGCACAGGCTTCCCTCTGACACCGGGACCCTGGCTTCCCCCCCCACCCCCTTGCCGGCAGGCACCTGGGTCCCGGGTTCCCTCCAGCCCTGGCTTCGTCTGGAAGGCCGTCCAGAATGACATCCGGAATGATGTCCGGTCTAATTAGCATATTACCCTTTTATTATTATAGAAGATAGTATCTTGTGTGTGTGTATTTCAGAAAGTATCTCAATTCTAATTAATCATCATGCCTAGGTCTCCTGTCATGTCCTCTTGTGGCTGTTAAAATTCCTGGTTACTAAGACTGGCAACCCCCCTTCACCTCCACCTTGAGAATCCTCAGAATCATATCATTTATGCATATCCCTCTGGTGTTCAGTTCCCTCTTCACTTCTAGCTCCTGGAATTTCTTTTACTTTCTAGTGAACTCAACAATACATTTAAAAGGATTTTATAATACTTTAACTAGGAGTGTTTCCAAGTTATCTCGCCTGACAACTTGCTTCAGCAGTAGTCATTTGATCCTTTCAACAATATAAGACAAGTGACCACTTTACAGATGAGAAAACTAAAGTTCAGAAAGGTTAAAGATTTACTATTAATTAGGTTCATAGTTGTAATTAAATAATTATTCATGCAAATATCAAACTGTTCATCTTTTTCTCTAGATTTTAAATTCTATAACAGGACCGATCCATAGCTATTTTCACCACGCCATCCTCAATGAGTAGCACAGTGTCTAACTCATAGTAGGTAGTTGATAAATATTAATTCATTCATTCATGGCTAATAAGTGGCAGAAGCAGGATTAAAATCCAGGACCTCTGAATCATAATTCACTATACTCAGTGTCTAAAGTAAATAGTGATAGGAGTTAATAGGAAAACTCAAGGAGAGGACCTAGTCTAAAGGAGAATATCCTCACCCCCCCCATGGTTACTCACATGTCATTTATGAATTCACTCAGGTATTCAATAGGTTGCCGAGTTCCTATCAGAGGCACTGTGCTAAGCACTGGGGGCATAATAGTAAACAAAATAAACAAGCCTCTGACCACATGGAGGTGACAGACACTAACAAATAGTCACACATGTAAATTTAAGCCTCAACTATGACTTGTGCTGTGTGGGATGGATGATGGTAATGGCAATGAATGAAATGGCACTGACCATGAGGTCATTTCCTAACTTTAGTATTTTATGGACATAGACTTCAAAGCATGACAGTTAAGTGATACATAAGGGTCTTAAGGACAGTGGGGGAGCTACAACTATTCTAGCACTAACTCTAGAGCCCTTTCAAATACAGGAAGTATAGTGGTTGAAAGCATGAGCTTTGAAATCAGATAAATGACTGGCCTACTCTCTTCGAGTTGATTCTTTATCTATTGAATGGCAATAAGAACTACTCACAGAGTTGTTGTGAAGATAAAATGAATCATTAATATCTGTGAAATTTATCACAGGCTCATAGTCAATGAATGGTGGATATATTTTTCCCCAATCTAAGATCTAGTTCATTAAGTAGGAGCTACAGTACTTCTCTTAAGATCTTCTCCCTGGTTTTCCATCACCAGCACAAATTCCTTCAGATGTCCAAATTACTTCTTTCCTTATCTACTTAATTACTACTTGTATCAATACGCTTATGTCCAGAACACTCCTATAAACTCCACATCTGTGCACTCAAACTGCCTACCCAGCATCTATAACTGGATGTCTGAAAAGATTCTCAGTCTTAAAATGATCCCCAATGATAAGGATTTCTCCCCCAAACCTCTGCTACCCTTATGGCTTTCCCAAACTCAGTTAACGGCAACTCCAATTTGACAGCAGTATAGGACAAAAGCATTGAAGTCACCCTTGACTCTTCTCTTTCCTTCTCCCTCTCAGCAAATCCTGTTTGCTCTAAATTTAAAATATATCTAGAATAGGAAAACCTCTCTCTACCTCCATTGCCACTATCCTGATCTGTGAATGTTGATTTTATGTGTCAATTTGGCTGGGCTACAGTACCCAGATATTTAATCAAACATTATTCAGGAAGTTTCTGTAAAGGTGTCTTTTGGATGAGATTAACATTTAAATCTGTGGCCTCTGAGTAAAGCAGTTTACCTCCATCATGTGCATGGGTCATATCTAGTCAGTTGAAGGCCTTAACAGACTACATGTTTAACTTACTTATCTTGTTTTTTAGCTATTATTACCTCCACCAGAAATGTAAGCTTAGTGAAGGCAGGGAGTTTTATCTGCTTTGTTCACTGCTTTAATAGTTTTTAAGGTCCTGGCTCTGCTCTCCAGCAAGGAGGTTGTGGCGTCAGCAGGTTCCAGGCGATTCAAGCTCCATAAGGGATGATAGAGGTTGTTTACAACTACCGACCATATGGGGAAGAAAGAGCTCGTGAAAGTGCAACACTGATGACACCATTGGGGTCCTTAAGAAGCTGACTGTAGCCCAAACTGGTAGCCTTTGGAACAAGATCGTACTAAACAGTGGTACATGATTTTTAAGGACCACATTTTTCTGGGATGAACCTGGAGCTTTATGACCAAGAGAGCATAATCCCCCTCCCCCGAACCTGTCCCCTGCCCCCTTGCTGTCCCCTCTCCTCCTACCCTTACCTCCCACACTGGTATGGATGATTGTTTTTAAAAAGTCATGTTAATAAAAATTTAGAAGCAGAAGAAAAGAGACAGTTTTTAGATTCTAAAGCAATGCCTGGTATATAGTAAGTATTCAATATAAATTTAAGTGAAAGAAAAAACCCTCAAAAGCCCTCACTTATACTTCATTGCCTTTCCATTCTCTATCACAGGACGGCTGACTATTTTCTTCTTTTCTGAGCCCACTTCTGCTGCCTCACTAATCATTCAGCATCAGGGACTCATCATCACTTTTAACTTATAGCCTGAGAGTCTGCCAAGCATGTCAAACTCAAAGACTAACACAGGCCAAATAAACAAGGCATGTGGCCCGCAGCCTTGAGTTTGATATGCTTGGGCTGACACCTGAAATTCTCAACTCAGTCAATCTGCCAAATTATTACAACCCCCTCCTCAAGGATGGGATGATGTCTTTATTAAGACAAAAACTTCCTGAACCTAAAGACTACAAGTGAAGAATGATATCAATTTATTTTTCAGAAGCAATTTTCTACTCTTCTAATGTCCAATTTCCTATACACACTGTAAACACACTGAATACTAAGTCTTATATGCCTCTCTGATTAATATGGTTGGTGAAATAAGTATCAAGTACTACCTGAATAGAATTATAGTGGAAATAAGGCAATAACATATGTTACGCTTTTAAAAGTGGCAAAAAAGTTTAGAATATATGGTAAAGAAAAGGGAAGACAGAGAAAAACAGAGACAGACATTACATGTAAGTATTTTAAGTGTTTTTTTTTCTTTTTAATCCTCGCCCGAGGATATTTTTCCATTGATTTTTAGAGAGAGGGAAAGACAGAGAGAAGCATACATGTGAGAGAAACACATCGATTGGTTGCCTCCTGCACGAACCGACCAGGGGCCGGGCTGGGGAGGAGCCTGCAACAAAGATACATGCTCTTGACTGGAATCGAACCCGGGACCCTTGGGTCCGCAGGCCGATGCTCTATCCACTGAGCCAAACCAACTAGGGATTAAGGTTTTTTTTTGATGAGCCAATTTTGATGACTAAAGTTAGTATTAGTTTGAATTGCATTAATACAGTTAATAATTACTATGTTCATTTATATTGCTATAATTTATTCATGAAACATTGATTATCGACTATGAACCAGAAACAAGAGCTATAAAAATAATTAAAACATAGGTCTTTCATGAGTTTAGGGAGTGTGATAAGCCTGTATATAAGCAAAAAATTTAGTACAGTGTGATAAATGATGCTAAAATATGAGTAAAGTTCAGAGAAAGTATAATGTCTACTTACGTTAAAAAGTTGTTTTTTAGCATATGTTCTAATCTGTCCTTGGTAAGAAAAGAGAAAAAGAAAATTTATTATTAACTGTAATTGTATTCATTAGATGTCATTAACATATATAAAGAGTGGATGTTCTGGGCTTTATCCACCAAACGAATTACCTTTTGGCCAGGAGCAATGAACCTGTGGCAGAGCGCAACATCCTCGGGACAGCTGGCGAGAACCATCGCTGTTGCGGACTTGAAGAGCCCCTCCATGACCTGAGAGCAATGACAGAACAGCCTGACTTGGGAGCCACTTTCTGTGAAGGACCTGTTGAGGGTATTGGAAGGATTGCCTCCAGGTTTAGAATGCACTACAGCAAGTTCAGTTTCTTAGATTAATTAGAGGAGGAACTGCAACTTCTCAGAGGGGGCAAAATGAGAAAGAAAAACGCTTACATCTTTTGTCAACAGTTTCAATACTGATAATGAAGTCAGATGTCAAATAAACAGCTAAAACTGATTGATGCCTCTCTAAATTTCAATATTCTCACTTATGGAATCATTGCAATAACAGTACTTAGCTTACAGGATTGTTGTGAGAGCTAAATGAAATAATACATGTAGAAGATGTAGCTTACTACCCAGCCCACAGAAGCACACAACAAATATTAGTTATGAAGAGTGAGACACTTTGAAAAGTGTTTCAGTCAGTCACTGATAAAGGAAAGTAAACCTTAAAAGCAGAGAGGCCATGAGATATATCTACACCTAAGTATACATACATTTTTGCTTTTCTAAAGCATAAAGCAAAAAAATAACACTAATCATTATATAACACAAACCAGCATATTCAACTGTAAACCTACTTTTGCCTACCCCGTATAAGAATTCATTCCACCAGAAGTGTCCATAGAAATCTCACGGGGAAAACTTGTTCATAGAAGAAGAAAGTGATTGAAATGGAAAATAGTTTTTTAAAAATATATTTTATTGATTTTTTACAGAGAGGAAGGGAGAGGGATAGAGAGTTAGAAACATCGATCAGCTGCCTCCTGCACACCCCCTACTGGGGATGTGCCCGCAACCAAGGTACATGCCCTTGACTGGAATCGAACCTGGGACCCTTGAATCTGCAGGCCGACGCTCTATCTACTGAGCCAAACCGGTCAGGGCGAAATGGAAAATATTTCTAAAATATTTTTAACCCAAACTAAAATTTTTGGCTTAAAGTCAATGAAATCATAATAGGCCCTCCAAATGTCGTACTCGTAAAGATACATGCATTTATTCAGCACAGGCTGCCACAGAGGCAGGCTCCTTCCTTGAATCCTCTCTTGCATCACAGGTGAACCATATCAGGGCTGCAAATGCAGGGAGTTTGTGTGTGTGTGGGGAGGAGCATAAGCGTTTACTGAAGTAATCTAATATGACCGGATGTAAGAAAGTACTTAATTACCAGTGACAACCAGATATATTTATACATACATAATACTTTTATATTTACATATACTTTACATTTTTATATTTGGAAATATATATGGATATATAATATAGAAGTAAGGAATAATTGGATAAAAGAAGAGCAAAAGGAGGCCAAAGATCTTTTACCTTGAGGCTGTATCTCCTTCAATCTAACAGCGAGATAAAGAAATCACTAAGTAACTAAATGATTTATGAAGAGTCATATCTTCAATTACTAAAAAAAGCCGATGCATATTGGGAGGAAAAAAGAACAGGTAGGTTGGCCAGTGCGCCTGCACCGTTGAGGGACACAGTATACCTATCAGTAAGATGAAGACTTTGACCACTGGAGCTGTTAAATCGGTGTCTTTCATGAGCAGTAAATTTCCATTTGAAGAAGTAAATCATTGGCTTCTCTAACCTTGACTTTCAGACTATGCTCTATAAATATATTTGAAGGAAAAAGAAACTTAACTGAAGGGTCAGCATAACCCTCAGATGTTTTTAAAGGTATATTACTCAATGGCTCTAAAACAGTAACATGTAATTGCTATACCTCATGAGGAGAAAATCCTTTGTTACAATATTTTAATTTAATATTTAAGAGACTGCTCTTCGTCAGGATAATAATTCCCACAGAATGTAATTTATAAAAGGAAGAAAAGTTAAAAAAAAGCAGGAGATCACTTTTGAGGGAGCATATTTTTTTCACCTATATTTAGGAGAAAAGCTTATATTTTAATCAATCAAATCATTCAACAGTATATGTGCTAAGTCCCACTCAGTGTAGTACCAAATATGTTATTTAATTATAGAATATATACATACATAAAAGGCTAAGTGACCATCTGACCATCCGACAGTCCTGACCGGCTGGTACATATGGCACACACTGACCACCGGGGGCAGATGCTGAACGCAGGAGCTGCCAAGTGGTTCTCGGGTGACACACCTCGGAACCAGAGAGGAGGGAGCCCGATTCCTCCTGGGGCCACGTGACTCCACCTTCGGTCGGGCCATGGGTTACATTGTTGCTGGGGCACTGTTAGCCCTGAACTGGTTTACTGCCAAGCTGCGGTGACTTGGCAGCGGTGGTTCTCGGGCAACGCACCCTGGAACCAGAGAGGAGGGAGCACGGCCCCGCTTCCTTTCAATGTGCATGAATCCGTGCACCAGGCCACTAGTAGAATATATAATTATGAAGCAAAGATTATAATGTTTAATAAATTCTAACATAATTTATGTATTGTTTTTGTAGCTGTTCCCTCTGGACTCTATTTTGGGGCAGTAGAGACAGGGTCAAGGCAGAAGAAATAGGAAGGTTAAAAGTATGGTTCTGTTCCTTACAATACTCTCATTGCCCAAGTGAAAGAGTAAGACAGTATTGGGTTGTGGGCTCAAACTGAAAGCAACTTAAGGAATTTACTGACTCCATGTGAGGCATAGACCTGAATCTCTATAATCTAGAAAGGGGTTACTTAACAGTTTTAATGTTGATATTTTTGGCCAGAGAATTCTTTGTTGGGGGGAGAGGGCTGTGCGCTGTGGGATGCTGAACAGCATTCCTAGTCTTTAGTCACTAGGTATCATTAGCAACCACTCCCAAACCACTCCCTAGTGATCTAGAACAATAGTGGGAGATGTTAATGGGGTAGGGAAATGGATACTATGGGATGTGGCCAGAACACCCCTTCAGAACCAAGAGCTTTCTCTGCTGGGAATATTAACTGCTGTTGGTTCATGGTCGAGTTCCTCTTCAGGAATGGTCCAGGCCAAGAGTGCTCTCTTACTGTGGTTACACCTCTTCCCAAGGATGGCCCATGTCCAATGACTGGTTGATGGGGGGAAGCACAAAAGCCCACCTCTTGCCTTCATATGGGACAACTATGAAGGACCATTCCAGCTCCAAAGCTCCTCACAGAGCTAGCTAAGGCCTCTGTGAATGCATCACAGTTCAACTTCTCCCTCTGCCCAGTGCTTCTCCCTCTTCCTTTCCCTACAGGTGTTGTTCTCTAGAGCATTCCTCAATAATTCCCTGATGCTAATCTCTGCTTTAGAACTTGCTTACGACAAAATACAACCTAAGACAGGATAATCAAATAGTGAGTCCATTCTGTTTGGTGGTATATTTAGTATTTATGTTTTAAGTGGAATTGGGTCATTTACTGGGTGAATAAGAAGAGAATATAAATGAATGGAAATGATAGCTGATAAAAACTGCTAAAATAAACATCTTGTAATTATAAATCCAAACTAAGATGTTAACCAAAATGGTACTGAGTAGAGAATTCATAATAACAATAGTAAATAATTTCTGGGTCCTAACTAAGTGCCATGAACTATGCTAAGTACCTTATATATATTATCTGTCTAATCCTCTGAACCAGCGGTCGCCAACCATTCCAACCTCACGGACCACTGGTTGGTGACTGCTGTTCTGAACTATCCTATGAAGTAAGCATTATTATTCCCATTTTATAGATGAGGAAACTGAGGCTCAGAGAAATTAAGTCCCTTGCTTAAAGTCACATAGCAAGGAACTGATGAACAAATCCTGGTCCATTCCACTCCAGAACTTGTGTTTTCTATCTGGATTATGGCCACAACCTCCTAAGAGGACTCCCACCTCTGTTTTTATCTCACTCTAAATCATTTTTCATATTGCTGCTAGAGAGTTTTTCTAAACTATAACTCTGACCATGGCCTTTCCTACTGAGAACTCCTTCTCCTTTATCTTTTGGATTAAATTCAAACTCCTTAGCATGGCATTTCTCCATCCTCATCCCTTGCCTCCTGTGGATGCTTTCTAATACAGTTATATAGAAATTTCCCTAACCATAAAGATGTTTTATTTGTTTGCCTAGGAAATGACAAGGGCTACTATTTACTGAGCCTGCAATATGTCAGACTGTGTGCTTTACATTGTATACATTGTTTCTTTTACTCCTCACAATAACCTTATGAAATAGGTACTATTATTCTCATTTTACAGTTGAGGAAGTTAAAGATCACCAAGGTTAGGTAACATCATAACAACGTTAAGGGCAAACCTGAGATATGAACTTAAATGTCTGGCTCTTGTACTAAAGACATTCTAAGATGTTTATTAAATTAAGTAGTTCTCTATCTTCTTCATCCTATGAACACCTTGCAATGCACAGATGTAAAAATGTATACAGAAGCATTTTAATGTCACCGAGGCCTGACATTTAGAGTCTATTTTAAAATTTATGTACCTACCTGCATGAGATCTTGAAGGCTCTCCACAAAAGAGATCTCGGCTTCTACCATATAAAACTCTGCCAGGTGTCTCCGGCTCTGAGAATTCTCAGCTCGAAATGTTGGACCAAAGGTAAACACTTGAGTAAAAGCTCTGCAATTCAAGATTAAGAGTATAAAAATAGGATTCACATGATTAATTTTAAGTATTTAAAATACTCAGTGAGCTCTTAAAGAAAAAAAAGTTTTGGACCTCTGTCTTGTCCACAAATGCATACATATTAGCTGCTGTATTTCCTTAATGGTTGATAATAATAGTTTCATTAAAAGGGTTACATTTATAGAAACTATTTTATCCTGAAGGAATTTGCAAATGCTTTACAAACCCTATGGCTCACTAAATATAGAATGATAACCACCTCTGGGTGCACTCTACTGCAGCTGCCTTAAACAGCAGGCAACTACATTTCACAGTAATCAAGAGCAAAGTAAACGAAAAATACCACAGCCCACGAAGCTACACAGAGAATCTAGATAGTAACAGTTAAAATGAGAATTTCATGTAGATAAAATGGGTTTATTATTTTTTAAATATGTGAAAAAAGAGTATCAGATATGTATGGTGATTTGCCTTGTTCAAAGTCTACCCAACCACCCAAGTTTCAATTAATGCCGAGTGAGCACTAAAATTTGGAGGTAAGGGTGGATTTTGAAGAACTGTCTACTTGATCCACTGGTTTTCAAAAAGAACTATAGCTCAATAATGCCAACATGAAAAAGATATTTTTAAATTCCTACAGAAGTGGACACTACACCTGAATTCATTCTTTAACACTTACAGTCTCCTCAGAAACAGGGCAACAACTGAGATTAGATCAAACATATAGGAAGTAATGATTATTTATTGAGGACTATCTAATCTTTGAATTTTAAGGTTTTGCTAGGGGAAAAGAAGAGGTGTGGGGTTCTTCAGCTATCATCCCTAGCTTTCTTCACTTGTCTGTCATCAGTCAAATAACATCAGAAAATAGTGCAGAGAATAAACGCATTGTGAATATGCATACCAGTTTTAAATTTATCTACCTATTTGAAGATACTCTGAGAAGCAAAACAGTAAAACAATTATAGTGGAAATAAAAAGATTTATGTTTTCTTTCACAAAAGGCCATTTCAGTTAAGGCCTAGTTGGTAAGAAGCTTAGGAATTTATGTTTTGGTTCTATAGTCATCTTACTGAGACCATGATCAGTTGACCTCTAAGAACTTTAGTTTCTAATGGAAAAATAAACAGTAAGAACTCAAAAATAATACTATGGCAACCTCTCTCCCAAGATTCAGATCCAGACTCGCCGATTAGAATGTCCTGGAAAACACTAAAACTACCTTGTCCCCATAAACAAACAAAAGACAAACAAACAAAAATGGACGATCCTGGTCCTAGCCGGTTTGGCTCAATGGATAGAGCCTCGGCCTGCAGACTGAAAAGTCCCGGGTCAAGGGCACATCCCACAATTGCAGGCTACTCCCCAGCCTGGGCCCTGGTCAGGGCGCGTGCAGGAGGCAACCAATCGATGTGTTTCTCTCACATCAATGTTTCTCTCTGTCTTTCCCTCTCTCTTCCACTCTCAATGGAAAAAATATCCTTGGGTGAGGATTAAAAAAAGGGGGCAATCCAGCTTTTCCTTTTACAGTCCCCCCAATTCTGCTAATTTCAGTTAGTCCACCTACTCACTCCAACCTTACCCCCCACTTCTTCCCCACTGCCCACATTTCCTGTATCATTTTGATTGAGTACAACATTATATTGTTCACACTTCGGAAAGCTCTCTGAAATCGAGAGACTTTTCTTCATCTCCAGATATTGTCTTGTGTGTAAATAACTCTTGTGTTTTGCTTAGAAACCTAAAACAGCTTTTAACTGGTGTCTGCCACCTATCTTTCTTACTCCAGTCCCAAACTAGTACAAGTTTTCAAACTCAAATCTGATTCATCAGCCCTAATTTTAAAATCCTTCAAAGGATAATATTCAAACTCCTAACTTTGACTCAACTGTCTTTCACACAGGCTTCCTCCAATGAAGACATTCTCCTTACACGGCATGCCCTGCATGTTAGGCCTCTGCACAGGCTGTTCCCACTCGCTAATGCCCATCCTTTCTCCTCTCTCTCCAAATGGCAAATTCACATCTATCCTTCAAGACTTGGCTCAAATGTCACTTTCTCTTTGTAACCTTGCGATACACCCCAGAATTTATCATTCCCTCCTTTTTATGACTATAAAAATTTGTTCATATATTTATTACACAGAACATATCACTTTGAAAAGCAAAGTGATATATATTGGTATCTTTCTCCTCCAATGAACTATGAAATTTTCCAGAGCAGGAGTCATGCTTTATTCATATTTGTATCTCTGGTGTCTAAGATAAAACAGGTGCTGAAGCTGAATGAATGAGGACTAATGATGATGACAGGCTTGCTCAGTTGTAAACTCAAAAAAGAACACATCCTCACAAACAGCAACATTACAAACATGTACAGAAAAATACTCAGATATACAGGGAGGGGCAATAGTAGGGTTACAGTTGTGAGTACGTGAAACACAATTTATTCTTGTATTATTATTTATTAATTATATTTTCTATATGATCATCTGTAAACCTAATTTTGACCCACCTTGTATTTTACTGTGGCTGTTACTACTCAGTACCTAAAATGGGTCAAATAATCTAGGTCTGTCCTAAACAATAAATTCAAAAATTACAAGGCCTTGAGTTTTCCAATCTATGATTACACAATCTCTAGGTAGATGGACAATAGTATATCTAAATAAATCAAATGACAATTTCTTTTTGGTATTGCATCATAAGAAATTGTATATACAGATGTTCACTAACAATAAAGGATATTTTATTGAGATTTTCCAGGGTATAAATAGAAATGAGATGACCTCAGCAAAATTTAGTTTGAGGACTCTGAGGGAGATTACAAGAAACGGGCAGTTATATTCCGGAAATACAAGGAAGGCCAAGGGACTGCTGCTCAAAGTAGGCATGCTATTTGTATTATACGAGGCATTGAGAAAACAGTGATTTCTAAAAGATTGACCAGTTCAGTCACAAGGGCATCTGCTTCTCCCACGGCAATTCTATGTGGGGTGCTCTAAAATGAGTAGCAATAGAGATGTTTTATTTAACAATGGTTAATAATTTCTCCTAGCAATGCAGGGTAAGCTCTCTAGTATGAAATACAGAAGTAGATCAGCAATTTCATTTTAATTACTAGTGACCTGGTGCATGGATTAGTGCACATTGAAAGGAAATTAATAAGAAGAAATATTTTAATACCGCTATTTGCCCTTCTCTACAACAGAAGTGTCAACCAAATTCACGATCGACAATGACAGAGTGAAACACACTCATGCCACTGGTGCCACCAGCGAGAGCTTTATATGTATCGCACATGCATGAGTCAACTTAGCCTTTTATAGATACAGAATAAACTTGCTTAATTAGACCTGTTTTCTGATTTACTAGTAGGTAAACTTTTCCCAGCCCAGTGAAGCACCCCAACTTCTCTTTCAGGTAATTTTCAGCAGTAAATATCAACATGAAGCAGATTATTATTGTAGATCATGGAGGGAGAACAAAGGGTAAAATATTTAACTGCAGCAGTGTTTGACTATATTCTGCACAGTGAGAAAACCTGAAGGCATTTTCAAGGTTCACCATTTCTTACTTCTTTTCAGTCGGGTCAAGTTTCTAAGCTTTCTAAATCTCCGTCTTCCAGCTAATGAAAATAGGATTCCACCGAGTCTCATATGTACCTACTCCAGGATTTCTGTGAGGATCAAATGAGATGAGGCATGGGAAAATGCTTCACAAACATTTGGTTAAAGTGTAAAATGTTTGCACCTGGCTATAAAACAAGTCATGTTCCTGGGCTGAAGAAACTGCAAGGAGGCTAGTTGCTAGGGAGAGGAAGCCGGCGTTGCTACGTGACGTCATTACCCGGAGTTGCTACAGTGACCGTTTCTGGGCTGGGCTGTGGGCCGCATTTTGCGTCATGGGGTCTCGGCAGCGCCAGCTGTGATTTGGTGGGCTGTTGCTCCAGGGTGGTTGCTTTGTGGGCACCAGGTCTGTAGTGCCCTTTACTGTTAAACCAGAGGACCGGTGTATGCACCGGTGGGGTCCCTCAGCCTGGCCTGCATGACTGGGCCGAAACCGGCTCTCTGACATCCCCTGAGGGGTCCTGGATTGTGAGAGGGCGCAGGTCAGGCTGAGGGACCCCACCAGTGCATGATCAGGGCCGGGGAGGGACCATGGGAGGTTGACCGGCCTGGGAGGGACTGTGGGAGGGCTCTAGGGCATGTCCAGCCCATTTCGCCCAGTTCCGATCGGGAGGACCCCCGCATCAAGCTAACCTACCGGTTGGAGCGTCTGCCCCTTGGTAGTCAGTGCACATCATAGCGACTGGTCGGATGATGGGAGGGACACTTAGCATATTAGACAGATATAGATATAGATATAGATATAGATATAGATATAGATATAGATATAGATATAGATATATATTAG